AAAGATCTAAAAACTATATCCCATGGGAAAAACAACATCAAAACTTCTGATTAATCAATCTCTCAAAATTCCATCACTTTTGAGCTAAGGTTAAGTAATGGTTCCAGTGCACTAGGAGCAAACTTCCGAGCAAAGAGATAACACACAGATGTTGGTTCGTCATTATATGTACACTGCGTCCCATTATTCCTTATGGATTGTATAAAATCTTCTGTGATGTCAGCTTCATCATACCTGGCCGGATGAGGGCCACCCACTGACCAGTCAACCCACGTCACCGTCCGATTTGCACTTAATGATCCATGGAACATATTCAGGAAAGTTGGAATGTAATGCTCATCAGGATAGCAAGCTGGCCTACAAAACTTCCTGAAAAGGTTGTAGTACTTGGTGTCTGAAACCATGTAAATAGCAACAGTACGCTGCATTTCAAACCATTGTGAACCTTTCCGCCATTGATAAAGCTTTATGTCTGGAAGCATCTTGCGGTTAAAGCGGCCACGACCATATCGGGTAGGATCATCATATGAGTCAACAAAACTGTAGGCAGAACCAATGAGATACTTGTAGACAATTGGGAAGTTATAGACTGGAATACAGCTCTCAGAGAGAAGAACAAATCGTTCATTTGAGAAGTCCAGCAGTGCATTGGCTAGAAGGCGCCTTTCTGCATCAGCCAGTAATACAGTTCCCCATTCAACGTTCTGAAAATTTAAAAAAAAAAAAAAAAAAGCTGATTCAATCAAACCTAGAAACTGAATAGTATGATGAGAAGTAGACAACTTCAAGAGAAATGGTACTTTCCCAATGAGAAAAATGTAAAATCATAATAAGACCCTAACGTAAATACATACTATCACAGAGGAAGAGTTCCTCTGGACTAATGTAACTTTTTGCAGCAGCACAAGTTTCAGAGGCAACCATAAGAGAATTATTCCTTAGGTATACTCATTAGAACAATGACAGCTTATGTGAACTACTAGCTAGAGAAGAACAAAAACCGTATAAAAAAATTCCATACAATAACTTTAAGTTACTTGCCAGCCATGATTTTACATTATACTCAATGAAATACCACCGGATGCAGTGTGCCCAAGGAAATATCTGAAAGACCATAACATCCAACTTAGAGCTGGCGTTAAAGAAAGACCCAATAGCTGATCATCTAACGATTTTCATTTTCACCACCACCATCCCCTCCCCTTGTCTCATGAAAAATTTTCTTTAGGGACAGAAAATTCTCTTGCTAGGTAGTCAAGTTTTGAAATTATTAGCAAAAATTCATAGCAAGCTTTAAAACAAGGGACTAGAATGGGTTTGAACATAATGACAAGAACTGCTCAAAGGGGCTTGATCTGAAATTGCCGATCTCATATAACTAAAAAGATTCAGCATTCAACCTTCAACATGCTTCAAAGGAATGAAAGCCATATTCATTTTTCTGCTAATAACTAGTATCTAAAGTCATGATGTTTCAAATCTTTGGCATCCTCCGTAAGACCAATTGGCAACATGGCAGCAGAATTTTTGACATCAAAATACAAGCATCCTATAGAATCCTTCAACAGACAAATAAAGCAAAAAGAAATATCCATGGAACACAACAGCAACGACTGCAATGGGCAAATATATATATGAATAAAAGGGCAGGATTACCTACCTGACTAGGGATCTGCCTGGCGTAGAAAGGAGAATCAGTAGACACATGGAACTCATAGCCAGGAGGAGCATGGACATAAATGGAGAAATACTGGGTATGACCCTTAAAAAACTTCTCCCACAAAGGCAGCATAGGCAAAGGCCCTCGAGTCAAAAACATGAAGGCGACTTTAGGCACCCTCAAAAAGGGGTACTCGCCTTTGTAAGGCACCATGGAAGCTCTCCAGAAGAGCTGATTATCAGACATTGGGTGGATTAGATTGGTTGGAGTGACAAAGGACTTGATGCTGAAGCAACCAACACTGTCACAAGGCTCAACAACACTAGTACAGTTACCCTTGATGCCAGACATGACACTAGTGGAAAACAACTGAGCCTGAGAAGTGAAATAGCGGCTTATATGAGAGCTGGTGGCTAACCCAATTATTACACCCGCCACGAAAACCACCAAGAAGGAGAGAATTTGCACGAGCTTGAGCAAACCCATGTGCTTCTCTGCATCTTCCTTGTCTACTCTGCTTTTGACCATATTTGTAGATGATGATGATGATGATGATGCATACAAAACTTACAGATCGAAAAGGGGTTGGGAATTATGTGATTCGAAAAAATAAAAATGCAATCTTTAAGATCAGATGTGAAAAACCCAGGAAAAGATCTCAGATTTGTTTAAAAAAGAATCATATATAATTAAAACAAGATTAGAAATTGGCAAAAGAGAAATCAGGTCGGAAAAAAGAGGAGGAATTTCGATTCAGACGAAATGATTGATATTTGATTTTTGAATGGAAACGGATTTCAGAAGAAGAGGAGAGGAGCGGCGAAGCTAGGCTGGGCTAGGGAAGAATCAGAATCGGTGAGACGATGACATGAATTCGTCAACTTGATGCCAACATGCCTCTTTTTTTTTTTTTGGTAGTAGTTGTTGTTGTGCTTATTTATTTCCCTTTTTTCTTTTCTGAGAATGGGCCAGCACTTAGCCGCCTTGTAGAAGAGAAATAAAAAAACTCCAGAGCTTCTTCGTGGTTGTTCGGCCTACATAATTTTTACTTGGCTCTCGAAAGTTGACCAACTTCAATTTTTTTTTATTAATTATAAGTTATATTACATCTAATTAATTCAGAATTATTTCATATAAAATCGTATAAAAAAACTTTTAATGTTTATTTTTTAATTTATAAAATTAAAATTAAATTTTTATTTAAAAATAATCAAATTACTTTTACTCATATTAGCAAGTCATATAAACTTTACTTTTAGATTGACAAAAAAATTGCTATTATCCATGCGAAAGTAGATGGCTGGGGAAAACATATTGGGAAAATATACTGGGAGCAATTGCCATCCTGTATTTAATTAATTATATTTTTTTATTAACCCCCTAATTTATAGAAAGCACATTTGATTTTAATTAATCTTAAATTATATTATATACAATCGCATAAAAAAATTATTTTAATATTTATATTTTTATTTGTAAAATTTAAATTTAAAATATTATTTAAAAGCAATCAAGGTTTTTTATACTTCAATTGACAAATAGTAGGTGATTCTTCATTTTTTTTTTAATTTGTATAGATGATGCTACCTGCTCTCTTTTCGTATCATTAGAGGTTTTAGGAAAATTTAATATTTATTTTTCAATGCAACATTAATTAGTTATTTTTTAATTTTACCTTTTAATAAAAATGGTGCATAAAATAGAAATTAAAGCAAAAATAAATTTTGAAAGGATAAACTGGTACTTTTAACATATCTATCTCTATGAATTAAGTTGACTTGCTTGTTGCTTTATACACAAATAATAACTTATCTTTCAATTTTACCCTCTAATAGGGTGATATAGAAAGTAGTTGACCTGCTTCATATCATATGCAAGTAATAGCATTAGGGGAAGGTGTTTTGCCTTGGTACTATTATTATTTTTTTTTTATTAAGTTAATCGATTTAATTAGAAATAAAATTATCAAAATACATCATAATAAAAATACCATTATTATTCATTGAAATTCTATATTCTATAGTTATCCTAATGGAAGTCATAGAGTTAGAGTTTTTTTAAAGTAGTTATTAATGAAGACAAAATTAAAAAATACACTTTAATTTATTATCTACTCCTAAAAAAATTGACAAATAATTTTTTTTCAACTACTAAACTGGACATTAGGATAGGTAAATACTATAGCCCTCAACAC